TATTATCGCAACAATTGCATTAAACTCTCCATATTTGGTTATTTAAAAAAGAGAAAAAGCTGGCACGCGCTTTGTCGAGCAACCCTAAATCAATTGAAAAATTCGCCGACTAGCACGCAATTAAAGATACATATAATATTCTTATTTGGTAAATTTTCTAAAACTTTTTCCTATGAAATAATTGAAGATTTGAGGTAAATTTTTTTTATTATTTTTTTTTATCTCATTCATAGATAAGCAACAAATTAAGGCAACCTGGTAGTGAGATATTATTTTGAAATGCAAGAAATTGAATAAACATCAAACAATGTCATGCCATGTCATCATCATGTCATATGAATTATAAAACTTCATTAATTCTGTTGATTGATTGAAAAGTCGATAGGATCGAATGCCTAGTTTGCCTAGTGCTTATGCACTTTAGTAAGCTTTCAATTTCAAAACAAATGAAATGATCATTGTCCGTCACAAAATCGATTATTTTGTATCGTAAAGGACAGTTGCCCTCAAATCGTTCGAAATGTGAAAGGAATCTTTTCGCTTTTTGCGAATAAAACATCGGAGAATCGGAGAAAAGTAAGCATCGAGCTTAACCAGCGGCTCCGAATCACAAATCAAAAAAAATCTTGAACCTTGAAAGGCATTGAATGGTCGGTCTTGCCCGACCCGATATATAATATTCTTACTTGTTTATTATTATTACGATAAATATAATAAATTTATATTTTACTTTATTAAACAATAGTGGTATTGAGGTTAAATGCGTTTGCAAAGTATTTGAAAAAGTTATCATACCAATCACTCAATCGACTGCATATGCATTTTCATAACCCATAATGACGTAATGACAGAAAAATGGCATTACTTTCTTTGCAGACATAGACCACACTTACTGCAAGCCATACGTTGCTGCATAAGCCATAAAAACATTTTAAAATAATTGATTGATTCATATCATCCATCTTGTTGAAAGACAAATATTTCCGCGTCATTCGATTGATAATTGAAACTGTAATTGAATTGTAAATCCATATCCATACCCATATTTTAATCCACAAACATTTTGAAATCATCTTACAGATAGTAGTAGTTATGAGTATATTTATGATGACCGTATCCCATTTAGTGCAACCTTTTGTTGTGCTAAACAGGTGCCTTAATAGGTGAAGCGCCAAGAAAGCAAACAAAAACTTGTAGACGGTGCGACGAGATATAGAAAATTGAAATTTTGATTTTATAAAATGCCAGAAAGTCTATAAGGGTTTTGCTTTTTTGCTGAATTTTAAGCAAAAATATTTGTTATTAAAAAAAAAGAACAAGTAAAAACATTGTAGACGGGCAAGGCCGACATTTAAATACCCTACACCGTATTATCTAACGCAATTTTTATGCTTATTGCAGAACACAAAACTTATACCTTGTTTTTATGTAAAGGCATATTTCTCATGTGCCTATTTCTGAGAAAGCAGGCCCAAAACGCAACCTAATGTAGCATAAGTTTAATCCTTGCATTGGGCAGGATCCAAGCATACGCGTAGATGGTCAAATTTTGAAAAGTTCATTTTTGTATGAAATTACTATGACATTATCGGTCGATTTCGATCGCTATGTATTAAAACTCTGCTCTACAAAGTATCAAGTTTCGCGGAAAATCCTTATTGGGATAAGTAGGCCGAAATGATCTAAATTGACTTAAATTACTATTATAATATAATTTTCTTCATCAAGCATTACATTTATATATATATATATATATATATATATGTATACCTGTTTGTCGCTTAAACTTCAGTTTTCAGTATATGAGAGGGGATTTAAAAATTGCTTTGGCCGGTCCAAAGTTTTCATTCCAATTTAATATGATGAAAATTTACTGCTTAGCCATTTTTGCAGAGAAATTTTGAAAATTTTGCAATTTTCTGCCAAATAACGACTTTTCACAATAGGGCGTTATATAGAGAACGGTCGAGAAAATGGATTGATCCGAACCATTTTCAATAACGCTCGTTCTTGGGTCACTATACCAAATTTCATCAAAATATCTCAAAAATTACAAATTGTAGCTTGGACACAAATTGACATGGACAGACGGACAGACAGACTTAGATCAATTCAGATTATGATTCTGGATCGATCGCGTACAATGAAAAAGATGAATCCATCTTCAACTATTCTATCACAAGTGGTGTAGGGTATAAAAATAGTTTTTATTGAAGGAAAGTTAATTAAGTCTTTACTCATTCTGACATACCCTTCATTATACGAATTTTGAATATGTTTTTTGTTATTTATCCATTTATGGTATAATTGGAAAATAGTTTATTTAAAACTTAATTCGTATGTCGTTAAGTATCTATGTCAATATACAGAAAAGCTGGTGGTGAGTTCAGTTTACTGCATATGGCGTCAATCAGTCTTAAATTTCTTCCACTTTTCGTTCGAAAACAACAACATTCAAAAAAAAACCAAAAAAACTATCATATTTCTTCTAGACGCCATTTTTCGATATCCATATCCATTACTTGCAATTATTACTTGAGTATGCCATTAAGTTTACCTAATTCAAGCCCACAAGTGATGTTGAATATTACACTCATCCAAACACATCAATATTTGACAATATTGCTCCTAATAACCTATATATCCTAACGTGTGCCGACCATAGATTTACTGCAAATATGCACTCACACAGGCATTTTCAAACTGTCCTTACCATTGACTTACCTATTCACGGACCCGCAATTAAAAAAAAAAAAGCAATATATATATATATACATGCTGTGAGTAGCGTGTACTGTAGATACATCGTAAGTGTAATAAATGTTTTATCATTTCACTTAGAAATACATTAACGCACCGGAGACCCTATAAAGAGTATTGGGCTCTGAATCAGAGCGAAATTATGAATCAATTTAATCATAACTATGACTGTATTATTTTATTTTTATATATTTACATTTAGATGAAAAAAATTACATTTCAACATTAGCTTATACTTAATAAGTGATCATAGAAATATATTAACTTATTTATACCATAGATATTAAAGTGATTCAGGCTTCCATTTCGATTATGAGTTGGGAATGTTTAAATAACTAATCGACAAATTGATGCAAAGAAGGATAAACAGGCATAACTAAATCCGCTTATCCTTTGACCTATCGTTTGTTCAGTCCTTTAAAAATGGAAAAGTGCGTAGACATAATAAGAATATTGAAATTTCGTTGCTTGTTTACTGCATTTTTCCGCAACTTTTGCAGCCAAGTTATGTATGTTACTTATTGAGTACAAGTTAAATAACGGTAAATGCCCGGTTTGGACAAAAGTTGATTAATTATGTCTTCTTCAAGGCCGATAGCCTTAGATGCTAGTGCTTTTAAGAGTTTAGTCTTAGAATTTATTTCTCTGGCGAAATTAATAATAATAATAATAATATGTCTTCTTCAAAAACTAAAAGACAAAGAGAATCGGCACTTTTATGAGCCTTGCCCTTCATTGAATGTTTTTTTTATACCCTACGCCACTTATGCTACAGAGTATATTAAATTAACGCAAACATATGTAACTCACATCTCACCTTTTATTATACCGATCGATTCAAAATCATAATCTGAATTGATCTAAGCCTGTCTGTCCATCTGTCCGTGGTCCAAAATGTTTCGGATCGGTCGACCACTTCTGTAAACATTCTCCCGTTAGCGAAAATGAGTATATCGCTTTCAAATTTATTTAGGGACCTAACACTTTCCATAGTGCACACCCACAACGCCCATACAACTGCGCGACAAAAACTTTTAAAAATAGAAAAAATGAACTCCGCCCGCTCCATATTATGGAGCATGAAAATCTAGTTCTGTTACTGTTTTTGTCTTTTTTAGGATAACGATGATGGGTATAAAAGATTCGATCACAACTAAAGATAATTTAGTAAATGGTTTATTATAAAATACTAAAAAATAGTCTTTGTTGCAATAAAGAGGATTATTTTTTGAATTTTTTTCATTTAACCACTTTTTCAAAATACAGCTTTATGTACGGCTCGTGTACAAAAAATTTAAAACGGACACATATATTCGGCGGACAAATGTATTTACATAATTTCAAGAAATAATGACACATCTTAAGTGTCTTCTCCTTTTTAGCGCGCAAAAAAAATTTTTTTCTGCGGATTAAGTAAAAAATATCCCCTTTCTATATTTTTAAAATTTTAAATATTTTATGCAAAACGTGTTTCCAAATTTTCTCGTTAGAGTAAGTGGTTCAAGCGTCGACGTTCGGCACATTGCAACTATATTCTCTCTGTGTCTACGATTAGTCAAAATACATTTTTTCCTTTGCGAAACTCACGCATCCCGTTGAGCTAAAATCGAGTTACTACTCCATCAATACTTGGTCTGTCTGTTAATTTATCAAAAAAAAAAAGATCCAATTGTTGTTTTTTTGTATTTTGACAGCTACAAATAAATATAACGCAAAAATTTAACTGATTATGAAACTTTTAGTAAACTAGTTCTCATCTGGAAGGCGTAACTTGAAAGCCGTTTGATTGAAAAAAATTATGGGAAAATAAGGAGCATATTTGACGTTCGTTTGTACAAACGTAATTAAATTACAAATTTAGTAAAATTTTTAACGAAATGAATTAAAGTGAAGTAGTAATGGCTTTTAAACAGAAGAAACCAAAAAAAAGGGGCGATTTTGATTATAAATAGATAACGTTTTCGCGTCGCAAGAAAAATCTTCGGAAATTTCATAGCAGTTAACATTCGCAATTAATATATCTTTAACGCGCAAGAGCTCATCAGTTTGTTTAGTTAGAAATGAATGATAGCAACGAATATGACAAAAAACACTTACGTGATTGCAACGAAAACGTTTATCAACTATCGTCTTGTACGCAAACAAAAGTTAGCTTTAAGATCCTTGATTACCCTACAAGTAGGTTTTCCATGCAGCTCAGTTCGTGATTGTGAACGAGTTCATTCATGTAATATTAATTGTGAATTGTGAATTATTTTAACAGCTGTTTTTGCATTAGTCGACTTAAAATCTTGAGGTTAGGCTTAGATTAGATTTGCACTGTTTTCAAGTTTGAATAAATTAAAAAATTAAATTCGGTTAAATGGCATTTAGTAGCTACATAATTAAATCGCAATTACAGCGTAGTATAAATGGAATAACTCCGCTATTGTCAATTATACGTAACGGTCATACCATAAGGGGAAAAAGGCCTGGAGTGGCCAGAACGTTAGAGCAACGTCTACGAGGTATAATAATAATATGTGTAGCAGTTAACGGGGAAGATTTTGGTCTGTAACCAAACCTTATTATTGATGTAGAAGAGAATCCACAGGATGCGGAACTAACAGCTCGTGTTGATATTGGGTTCCCAAAATTGAGAGCTCCAAAGTCGCACCGCCAGGAAAGAATGCAGCATCTAAAGGTGCAAAGGAAAAGCGTGGAATTGGAAAAAAAGGCACGCAATCACACACGTAAGGATGTTTTTTTCTCGATTTAATTAACCAATAAATTCTTTTCCGACCGGTTTCAGTGTTAATAAATTTGGATGATGTTTCCAAAGAATATGTGCAACTTAATCGTGCTTACGATGTACGCATTATAGCCGATCATTATGGCGTTTACAAAGATCTCTTTGATTTGGCTTATTTTATACCACGTGTTAATTTGGACATACAAGTGCGCTTATTAAGAATAACTTGAAATAGTATCAAGTATTTAGATTTATTCGTATTTTAGTATCAACTTGACAATGGCATTAACATTCCCGTCTATAACGGTAATGTTATTAAACCTTTGGAAGCCCGCAAAATGCCTTCAGTTCAGTTTGACGGGAAAACGGATCCGATTACGGGAAAACCTACCAGTAGTGAGAATTTATGGTGTCTTCTGGCTACAAATCCAGACAGTTATCCCGCTGCTCAAAACAAAGAAATTGTTCATTGGTTCATGTAAGCATATTGCCTGCATTTCGTAGATGCATATAATGTTCTTTCATTACTTTAGAGCTAATATACCTAACGGCGAGGTATCTAAAGGTGAAGTATTGATTGATTATTTACAACCTTTTCCTCCTAAAGGCATCGGCTTTCAACGCTTTGTATTTGTTTTGTATAAGCAGAAGAAAAAAATTGATTTCAATAGTTTTAAAATGGACAAAATGTCTAATAATCACTTAGAGAAACGCACGTTTAAAACTTTAGACTTCTATCGTCAATATCAAGATGAAATAACACCAGCTGGATTAGCTTTCTACCAAACCGATTACGATAATTCTCTAACGAAGTTTTATCATGAAGTTTTAAGTAAGTTCGAAGTTTGCATTTGCTGTCAACAAAAGACAGACGGATTACAAAAACCTCTTTTTTTTTTTTTTTTTTTGTTTTTTTATTTTATTTTGTGTACAGATATGAAAGAACCTATTTATGAATATGATTTTCCTGATATATATATGGCAGATCAAAAACAATTTCCTTTAAAGCGACCCTTTAACACATATATGGATCGTTATCGTGATATTAAGCAAGTGAACAAAGAGTTTTTGGAACGTAAGTTGGCCAAAACACATCCATTTGACGGTCCCGAGCCACCGTTACGTTATCCCAATGCTCAGCCGCTACGTAATATACCGTCGTGGTTGCGTACAGAGATTAGAAAGGAACGTTTAAAAATTGGTCGCATTAATGATTATTAAAAAGGAGAAATCGTATATATTTTGCTTGTAAAATTCAACGAAAGAGAGAAGGAACTAAAGTGTACTTCTTTTTTCTTTTTTTTTTTTAAATAAAGTAGATATCTCTTTTTAAGCTAATCTTATTATTTGAATTATTCGCATCGATGTCTGTATATAGTAGATTTTCCAATAATCCTATAATACATTAATTTTCTGCAATGTTTTGTACCTGTTTTCCGAATAGTTTAATATTTGCAGTAACGCTAATCGATATATTGCCAATTAAGACTTTCATACACATTACACACAAATACCGAACTTATGAATACAATGTTTAAATATTTTTCCAAATTCATAGTTTGCATAAAATGCTCCACTGCTCTTCGTGGAGGAATTTATGGAGCATTTGTTTGCTTTTTATCATGGCAGTGCTATTCGCAATTATTTTCGAACCACTATTTACAAATCACGCAATTAGGTCCAAAGCGCTACTACCAAACTGACATGTTAGTAATTCATTTGACTTTACAACGAGCTAAGAAACCAGGAGACTTCTAAGATTGAGTCTAAACTAAAAAATAATGTAGTGTAAGTATAATGTAGAGAGGCAATGAGGGAACAGAAACAAAAAGATGACAATGGATCAGTTTCGTTAGAACAATCAATTCGTATCTCTATGATTGCCTACCAGATACCTTTCTCAATTTTTGTGCAATGATCGTTTAACACAAGGGAAAAACGCCAATTTTCACAGGAATGGACACTTGACACTCGATCAGTATGTAATTTGAGTGTATATAACAGAGAGAGAGAGAGAGAGAGAGAGATTGCCTTTAGGACCCGAATAACAATTGGGCATGATAATGATTGCAAACGAGACTCGGGACTAAAATTAGGTTAGAAAAAGATTTTGCAAGAATGGTCAAAATTTCATAGTTTTTAAAGGTGTCAAAACTATTAAAAGTCTACAAGGGAACTTTCACAATTCCGATATATATATGAAAATATTTTAAATTTTGATAATAAGCGTTAGATATTTTTACGCACATGTCTAGAATAACTTTGACGATAGTCATAACTAAATTGACGCCTCATCGTTCGTGTAGATTATATGATTGCTCAGGTATTCAGTAGAATTTGTATCTAAAAAAAAGAAGAAAAAAAAAAAACGTGTAAATAATTTACATATTTTTTCCAATTTTTTTTTTTTTTTTTGTCTAAATGTATTTTTAGTTTCCTCGTGCATATCCTAATGCGAATTTTTGCACTGTCGGATTTTACGATAATGCAGATTTCCTTCTTATGCTTGGAAGCACAATTTGAAACGATTTCAGATTATAATTCTTATAATAATGATTATCCCTTGGCGCATGCCTGCTTTTCATATTTTAAGGTTACTTGATTTACACCATCTTCCTCACTTACTTCTTAATTAGAAATTCGAAATTTTTTAAATTAAATTATATAATATAAAATGTAGTCGATACAGATTCTAGCGAGCATAAAACATTAAGAAGAATAAAAGTGCAGCAAATTCGTCGTTCTCTTTGTAAGACGCGATAATACGCATGAGAAAGCATACAACTTCGAACATCTGAAGATTTTATATTGTTATGATTTTGAGTCAAGACATTTATTTATTTAAATCTTTCTGCTTCTCCCGCTTAACTTTCTGGTCTAGATGCCATGCTTTTCTTTTGTTACATTATGTTATGTATGTAACACCCAAAAGAAAGCTTCAGAGACTTTATAAAGTATATATATTCTTTATCAGCATAATATCCTGAGTCGATTTAGCCATGTCTGTCCGTTTGCGTGGTGTGTGTTGTTGTCACTTTCCTAGACGCGAAAATGAAGATATCAACTTTAAATTTGATAGAATTATTTAAAGTTTCTGCACGCAGCTTGGTATGAAAACGGGTCAAATTGGCCGGAGCAGGAGCGCTCAGGTGAAGCGTAAACTAAACGCAACTTGGTTTTTTTAAACAAAAATTTTTCGATTTTCATGCGTTATTCGAAAATTATGCAAGTTAGAAAACTGCACCTTTCCACCTTTACTTCAAGAAACACTCTACTCTCTTAGGACCAAAAATGGAATCAATCGGCTGTGTCCACAAATTACAAGTTACAAGTGAGTGACAGTTATCGCGATTAATTTTTTCTTGAGTATCAAATAAAAGGACTTGAAGTGTAGAATGCCGAAAAGCATAGTGGTGGGTATGCGAGATCTGATCCCCGCTGAATATAACTTTTTTTACTTGTTTTTTTTTTTTTTCTGTATGAATTTTCAGCACAAATGTTCTCTTGATGGAGAATTTTTTTTTTTTAATTTAAATACACAATTATATTTTAAAAGTATATTTAGCATATTTTGTGGTTGAAAACAATTTTTCTTCCGTTCTACGATTTTATTTGTGGATTTTATTGAATTTCGTGTTTTCTTTTCTTTTGTTTCTTTATAAAATTACATTAACAAATTTCATCATTAATTGGTTTAATAATTTATAAAAATATTTGGCACAGTTACTGGTTTCATTGGAAAATTAATTTTTTTTTTTTAAAATAAAAAAAAAAAAAAAAAAAAAAAAAATTGGAACAACAACAGATTAATAAAAATGTTTTTAACAAAATAAATTTTTTTAAAAAATTATAATTTGAAATAATATACATCTATGCATGTGCTCGTACTATTTTTTTGTTTTTTTAACTCCAACAGATATTTTTAAGAATACTATCGAACGTTCGCTTTAATTGAAATGTAATTTAAGTAACAAGTTTTTTTTTTTTTTTTAATCAAATGCGTGTGAGATATCTCAGCACGTTAAGTATATTTAATGTTGATTAATTAAGTTTCTGCTTTGCCATAAGCACCCACTGGTGGACGATACATGACCGGCAAAGAAACAACCTGAGGTAAATTGAAAGCATATTTGCGTTTGTCAATATTTTTAAAGACATTGTCCATACGTGTCCCCTCGCTTTATGCAAAACCGATAAATAAAAATTAATATTTAATAATTGATTTTGTTTTTAAACTAAATTGTACGCACCTTCTCATTGTCGCCAAGACATATGGTACATTTTTGGCGGGTAATTGAAATTCCTGAATTAAAACACGACATTGCTCCAGAGTTACTGCCATTCCGGTACGATCTTTGGCACTTTTACATAACGTAAAACGTAGACCGGACATTAAACGACATGCGTCTTCGGCTAAATGCAGAATTTTAACATTTTTCGATACATTCGCTTTAAGTTGCTCCTCCAGAAGATTTAAAACATTTAACAAAGTCTGGGAGGCAGGTAAATGCGATTCATGTTTGCTGGGCGTCTCGGGTACCGTTAATGTTAATTTACGATAACGTGAATAATACTGCTTCAAACGTATATAATTATCCCAGTTTGAGCGATGCTGGTCACGTGTTTGTCCCAACGTTTCAGCCAAGGTTGCTTTCTCATTGATGCCGATATTAAAGAAGACAGGTGTAAATTTAAAATTGAGCATTTGCTTGGTAGGCAATAGCATATAGACATGCTCAGGTACGGGTAATTGGATATGAAGAGATTGTCGTGAACCTGTTATACGCGGCAACGGAATTGCATTTTGATCGTTGCTAAAAATATTAATTAATTGTGAATGCAAATAATTGTTGTAAAGCATATTTCATATGTGTTGATCATTACCTCGCGAGATTGCTGCGCACCAATGTAAAATTGACTGCCAGCAGATCTTCGATAGCTATGCACATGTCACCCCACATGTCTGTTTCACTTCCATACAATGATAGTAGGCCTTCAAAATAGGCTAATGGTCCTAAATCGGAAAGCATACGTATAAAGTTCTCTGTAATTTCAGTGCCCCACAATTTAGCCATTAAACCGCTTATCAAAGCGGTTAACGATTGTGAGAAGCAAACATCCCGGCGATACATAATTTCCAAATTGTGACTGATACGTCGCATATCTTGTTGCAGTCGTTGTACGGAATGCATAAGACGTGCTGTCTTCAATAAGCCGTCCATAGCATGCCTTAGTTTACGCATAGAAGGTCGCAATTCGGACGTCCAATCGGTAGTGCGAGATAAATCGAGACCTTCAAAATAAAAAATATTTTTAATATCAAGCGAAAAAAAAAAAAAAAAAAAAAAACATTTCAAATTTACCATCTGTAAATTTATTGCCTTTCTCGGTACTTAAACGCTGATTATCTGTTCCCCTTATTGTCTGCGTTAGATCTAAATTTAATGTATTACCGCTACCATTATCATTCCCGGAGTGAATTTCCTCAACATTATCATTGATTTCTTTAAGAGGATTATTATCACATTCATGCTTTGCTAATTGATTTCGGTTAACTACAACATCGGGTGGTGTGATGGTTTGATTATTGAATCCGATACGCTTCATCGAGGTTTTAGGATGACGTAAACGTATAGCTGGACTGCCACATCGACCGCACAAAAATTTTATCTTACTAACCAGGCACATTACACTAGCCTCGATATTAAGTTGTGTTAAATCCAAAGGTTCAGGTTCTTCTGTGGGCCGATAATAGTTAGCTGATGGGGAAGTGCTCATCATTTTTGTGTCTAGAAAATGCACATTATAGGACGACAGTATTGAACAATTTGCTGTTTCGTAATTCACGTAATTCGTTATAGATGATTTATTAAAAGTGTATAGTGGTTTTGATAAACTTGAGGAATTCGTTGATTTGAAAATATCTTTTGTGGATCCATCCAAATCTATAATGTTTATACCGGCACTTCCGGTACTCGATTCAATGTCATTTAAGTTTTCAAACTCAAATCCGTCTTCATCGAGATCCTGATTTGAACTTAAATTCACGGGTAACGATTGAAAAGGATTTTCTCCGGTTTTTTTTTTATCATTGCATACTTTCCGTTTAGCCTGACGTTGTAATTGCTCATTATAGGTGCGCACCGTGTGCTGGAGACTATGTATGACATCAATATCGAATGTTAACGAAGGCGAAAGCTTTAAGTTAGTGAGACTATTAGAGCGCGTCAGTTTTTGGCTGTAGTTAGAGGTAGGTGTTTTGGCTCGAGGCCATAAATCAGGTGGCGCCATTATCGGTGTAGAAAAGTCTTCTAATTCCGGTGACTTCAATTCTAAATCGTTAAGTTGTTGTGTAATTTTGCGAAAAGGTGACATAGGCTTAAGGAATTAGAAATTATATATATTTATATATATATATATATATATACAAAAAAAAATGTGAAAAGTTTATAATTATTACTTATTACCATCAATACATTGTCGGGCTCTTCTAGAATACGATGCTGTTCTATGAAGGCGAATGCCTCTTCAACCAAATTTGGTTCCCAGATATTTAAAAGTGTCTTTGTCTTACTAATCATCTCATTGCATAACGGCATCATGCCTTTCGCGTTTTTCATTTTCGCTAAGGCTAACAATTGAGACATAATTTCGACAATATCCTTACGTAGCTGTTTAATGGCTTGCACAGCATCATTGGCTGCCTGTACTTTGCAATTTGTGCTGGCTTCAAATTTCGAGGGTGATTCTTTAGTTTCCTGTAAAAGTCTTACAACAACAAAAAATTATTATATACTCAACTAGTATAGCTTAATATATTTTTTCTTTCATTTTTTCATTTTTTTTTTTTTTTTTTTTTTTACTTTATAAGTCCGCCAGATTTTTTCGATTTTGCTGCGTGCCTTGTAAATGCCCCCACCGTAATTATATCTAAGACACCGGTTTTATTGAGTGTATCGTTCTGACACCACATTCGTTGTAAATGTAAATTAACGGGTATAAATTCCAACGATTCATCGGTCTTTACTGAAGATCTTTTGAAATAAGTAACTAATATCTTTTGAGGTTATGTTTTGGCCAAAATAAATTAAAATCAAATTACTTTCTGTTTACCTTCGTCTTTGATAATTTGTTGTATATTTTGCTTAGCTTGTGAGTAATCTTTAAGTAACTTTAAATGTTTGTCTAACAAATCCATTTGACGTCGCCTCCATTCTCCTCCCAATTCGCCCATGCCCGAAATTTCTTGCAATAATTCCTTTTCACGTAAAATCCAAATAGTCCTAATAAAAATATTTAATCAATTAAAAGTTAATTTTTCAATTCAATAAACAACTTACAGCAGCTGTTGCGGTATAGTGAAACACAATTTCGATTCAAACATGGTCTCGTGTACACTTATATCGCCGCCCATACTTGAATGTAAACGGTATGTGTGAATCTGAATTGTAGAAAAAAGATTGGAAAGGTTGGTAAAATGTTTTGCGAAAAAATTTCATGTTTATGTAGCACCTTAGGATTACCAAAAACTTTCTGTATATTACCCTGAAAGGGAACGAAAAGCTTAACTCCCAGTTTTGAAGGAAGTGACTGCGATCGACGATGACCTTTAATTTGCTGCTCAAACACTTGGGTCGTAGATCGCGGCGGCGGTTGCATTTGCTTATCAGTATCTGGAGCCCAAGAAGCAATTGTTATGAAGCCGCAATCGCCTTGCGTCGATCGTAAAGGTATACGAAAACATGTAGCATCCTGAAATAATAAAATCCGAATATCATAGTCTTCATAGTCTTCATAGTCTTCGAAACTTGTTTTATCCTACTTGTATTACACCTAAAGCAATCTCGGCATAACCAATAGGTATCGAAGTCAATGACATCTTCTCCCTAACATCATATACAGTAAAACGTAATGGAGTATCCTGATTAAATCCGTCACTCTGCCGAAAACATACGGTACATAGAAACTGAGGTTGAATTGAATTCTCAACAATTTCAGTGCGAGCGTAATCACGCCATAATATGTCGTTATCAGACATCCAAACAGCGCACACGACGCGTGGATTCGGCATGCGACCGTTATCTGCGCATGGTAGATTATCACAAGATAAAGCGGATTCGCAAATCGGTATTTCAGATAGATCTGAAGGAAAGAAAAGATAAAATATGGAACACGTAACTTGAAGAAGTTAATAAACACACAAAACAATTATGAAATTCCAATTGTACATTGAGAATGACCGGTTACCTGTTTTAATAAAAATTTTTAGAAGAAAAGTTAGTAATTTTTTTTTTTTTTTTTTTTTTAACATAATTGAATTAATATTTTTATTTTTATTCAAGCAAAAAATTTTTCAAAAAAAAAAAAATAAATAATAATAATAATAATAAACCTCTTAAAAACAAACAAAAAATTATTTAACTAATTAATTCATTATATAGTTCATGTGGCACTTAGTTATTTACAGTTAAAGTAAAGAAAAATTTTAATAATTTTACAAAAATTTTTCCTTGCTTTATAAGAATTCATATTTTTGCATAAAACTTAAAGAAAATTAAAGGAAAATGCTTATCCACCATTTAAAAATAACCATAAATTGGAATTACAATTAAAATTGTATCAGATCACCTTCTTCTTCTTTCGCGGATGCCTTATTGACAATAGATCCGGTGGAACAGTTTATATCCAAAAGACCTGCCAACGCGGTGGCATCACTTGCTGTATTATATAATGGTAGACCACGTTCAATACGATTTCCCATGGCTGCGGAAATTTGATTTTCTAAATAACTAATTTGAAGGCTTAGATAAGCATATGACGCTAATTGTATACTTTTAACCCAATCTAGGCGATCTTGACTGGTGCGTGTCGAAATGCGCTGAGGTAAACTGCTTTCAAATTCTATAAAAAATATTCTTAAAATTTAATAAATGTGAGTTAGTTAAGAAATATGCTTACCAAGTATAAAAGCGAAACCATCAAATTCACGTTCTTCGTTTCTTATTAAAGGTCGACAACTTTCCAAAACTATTACTCCGGCCGGTTGCGATAGCGGATCGTGATCCTTTAGATAGAATAATAAATTACCACGCAATTTACAATAACGCGGATAATTCACTATTAAAAAAATAAATAATAAATAGCCATATATGAATGATTCAAATTAATATTCTAAAATTTCATTTCATTTCGTACCATCGGCTTTACGAAAGAATCCTTCGTGTCTTTCCGTGATAATTAAAAGTCCTTCTCTTTCAAATTTAATAGAGGAATTTGAGGCCAAGGCAGCTAATTCGGCCTTATTGAAGCGCATATTTTTTTGTACCCCAGTCTATGTTCTTCTCACTCCCTTCGTCCGCCCTTCTATCAACGTATGATTACACAATTTTAAAATTTACCTTTTAAAAAACACATATAATATATATGAATTAAGTTTATTATCATTTTCTGTTTTATTTTAATTGAAATATTTATCCTAAACCTCACGCCAAATATTACATATTACATATATATAATTAATAATTAATTGTGTCACAAATATGCTTGAAGGACTTGAATTGAAATCAATCTCGCATCGATATCCTTAGTTGCATTCGGCATGTTTAAGTCATGGTAATCGATCGGAAAAGAAATTTATATTTTCACTTTGAAAAAATTTTTGATAAGAGACAAGATCTCTAAGTCGCTCTATCAGAGCCCGCAACTCTATTCATAGAATTCAATATTTGCATACAAGCAATTGAAATACAAGCGCTAAACGTTAGATTTATTTGCTATACAAGCTTCCCCCTCACACCACCGTATTCTTTAACTGTGTTCAAAAAGTAATGGGAATTTCTATTTTAGAAATAAGCTTGCCTTTCAAACACCTAGAGAGAGAGAGAGAGAGAGAGAGAGAGAGACAGCTCTCAGAAGCCCCCATACAGTATAAATACTCATATCAGTATCAATTTTATAAAATAATTTCGACGTATTCTTCTGTCCGTCTCTGTAATGTCTATGGCGAAACGTTCCCCTGGTTCCCCCGAGTTATGAAGTTGTTGACTTCCAACTTCTTGCACGTAGTCTTACGTAGAAAATCAGTCACGATCGCAACTTAAACTTAAAACATCAATGTTTACCAAGAGAAAATAGTTTCCCAACAATGCGAAATTTGTCGAAAAATTCGGCCCCATATAAAATATTATGCAATATCGAAACTTCAAAGCAAACTGGAAAGCACCAGAGACCCCGCAAAGTATATATATTCTTGATCTGGATCGAAGTCTAGATCGATCTAAGCATGCCCATCCGTGTAATATCTGTTGGACATTACAACATTCCTCTGGCCGCAAAAACTAAACTATCGACTTCAAATTTGGCGAAAACATTGCAAGTTTTTGGATACAGATTAACACTGAAACTGAGACGCTGAGAACACCTTTGCGTTTCAAAAGAAATAAAAAATTTGCTTTTTTTCTCATTATAGCAAATAAATCTACAAAAATTTGAACGCATGCTCTACGGGTGATGCTGTAGCACCTGAACGAAAACGGAAAAAAATTGACCACACATATCCAATATTATAGTAGGCTAATATTTAATTTTTAAGATACCTTTAAAACATGCAGAAGCAAGCATCAAGGACCTCATAAAGTATATAAATTCGTGACCTAATTTTAAATTCGAAATACACCTGAGCACCTCCGTCGATTCGTCTGCTCAACTGTCTACTATCTGTGGCAAGCAGTATCCCTTTCGCAAAACTGAAAATATCGCCCGCTTTTCAAAGGACAGACCCGTAACGCCCACGCGCCTATACGACAAAAACTGAGAGCCTTGAACCTTTTTTTCCCGTGTTGTTCCTTCTTACTCATCAAGTACATGATGATATATGTTTTCATTTCTAATCTTAAAATAGATAGAACCAACCGCTTCCGCACAATGCGACAGATTATGAAAGCTTAGCGTTTTCTCTTTAGTCTTTTTTAGAATAACAGTGGTAGCTAAAAAAGACTCGGTCGTCGACGGAATATAATTTGCTTACTTCTTAGTTTACAAATTGAATCTCTTTTTCTGATATATAGCCTTCTTAGCAGCCAGAAAAGCTGAAAGTCGATCGAAATCGTATATATAGCGCTTATGGGCTAGCGCGATCTACACCAGTTAATTTCCGAATTGTAGTGAGAGAGAGTTAAGATTGGAAGTTACATTAAATGCGACATTGGCAAGTTGCGCATATTAAGCGTAGTCGTTTAGGTGGACTTGAAAAAGTCCGATATTGAGATTAGGTGATAGAGACAACATTTAGGTTTCTACAAACAATTCTGAATAGATTAAACAACAGATCATAATTATATTTACATTGACTAAGCTTAACCAAGATAAAGTGCCTAGAGAAGCGGTTAGGGACATTAAAGTTTATCTGATCATGTAATGTGGGTGAATCGATAATACCATGTATTAACTTAATTAAGAAGGAAACACCAAGGATAAATGTATGTTTCTCAAATGAAAGTGAGGCGAAGAAAAAAAAGGAGGCAAAGAGACAAACGCGTCCCAACTCAAATTCCTAAGGGCGAACAGCAAGTATTGCTTTTCAACTGATTCAGGAGACCATACAACAGAGGCGTACTCTCAAGTATTAGTCTAACTAAGCATATGCATATGTATAGCCTTCTTGCGATATACGAAACTTTAAGCCCTTTGCACCACCTCTAAATGAAGCCTAAAGTCGACCTAGCTTTACTTAAAGAGAATGAAATGTGCAAATTAAAACGTAATCTTTGGTCGAATAGATTCCCTAAATCGATGAACGAATCTACGTTTTCCAACCTGTGTGAATCGAGGTTATAACCAGTTTGAATGCCTTCCTTCTTGAACAAGAATGCCTTCGTGCATTTTTTTGGATTTAATTTCATCAAATTTAACGAGCACCGTGTAACTAAATTATGTCAGTCAATTTGAAGCTAATATGCTTGCGATTCCACGGAGAAGAACGAAAAGAAGTTAACATCGTGAGCGTGCATTAAAATATGGCTGAACGTAACGACCGAGGGGAGGTCATTAATGTATTGATTAAATAAAATGGCGGCGTTCAGCAGGTACGCTAGATGCCACAGGAAATTCATCCGAGGTGATAAAGTTAAAGAGTACCCTGAACGATCTGTTATGAAGATAAGAGCTTCTCTGTTTCACTAAGTACAAAGAAAAGCCAGAGATCTGGTATTTCAAGATCAATAAGTTATACTTAACTAACTTAAATGTTTTACTAATATCAGTATATACGAAATCCGTGCGAGGGCTACTAGAAAAAGCCTTGAAAACATGCCAAGTGAACTCTAAGTGATTCGTAACAGTTGATTTTCCTTTCAGAAAACCATATTGGAATGGAGAAATATAAGATTTGAACTAAAATCTAAATACCGAGTAACAATTCGCTCAGACAATTTAGCTAAGACAATAAACTTGGCAATGCCTTTATAGTTCCCAACGTAATATCTGTTTCCACAATTGTGAACCGGAATAAGGAGATTGCTTTTCCAACACAGGGAAAACACCTGATTTCAAGGATTCATTGAAAATTTTTGAGATAACCCCACATAGCTCGTCAGGGCATGATTTGACTCTACATGAACGAGGAATATCTCCAAAATCGAGTCGCACAGCAATATTTAATTACCAAGTTAGGAATATATATCCTATGGGTATAATATCATGGGAACATCGTGGGCATATATCATAACTGCATTTTCGATATTGAACTGATTTGAAGAAATCTGCTACCGAAGCCCAACAAACACTTGTAGAAACTAATGGTGACAATTGTCAGTTTTAGTTTCAACAGTTCAAGAGTGATGATTTTCATGTCAACGATAAAGAACAGCCTAGAGAACCAAAAAAGTCCGACAATGAATTGCAAGATTTACTGGACGAAAATGCAGCACAAATTCTCAAAGAACATACAAACAGCTTAGCAGTCGCTGAATCAACTTTTTCTAAACGTTTACATCCGATGAGAAAGATCCAAAAAAAGCGATAGCAGCATCGCGGTTCCATTACTTGCCAAGCAAAAAAGGAAGAGAGCTTCTTTAGCGTATTTTGACTGATGATGTCAAGTGGATACAGCGACAATCCGAAGCGCAAATATCATGGATTAATTCAGAACAGCCATTCATACCAAAATTTAGCTGTGCATGTAATGGGATCAGGAAGGCTGCTAAAACCGGATGAAATTTTTATTGCAGATGACCATTGATGTCATTTGAGCAAATTCAAAGATGAATTATTTCAAAATAGACCAGAAGTAGCGCGCATCCTCTTACATGATCAGACTCGGCCATGCGTTACAAGAGCGGTAAAGCATTCACTGTTGCGCCTCGGATGGTAAGTGAGTGGGAAGTTCTCATCGAAAATCGTCTGCAATGACAAAACTCATTTTTATTCGATCAGATGCCAATAGATACATTTTATATGTAAATATTTGGAAGTCTAGCTGTATGGTAGCCATCTGTCCATAATTCAGAATTATATTTCGAACTCGAAACGTCGTCGATGGTTAAAACTTTTATGTGTTAGCCTATAAATGAAGGCGCGATACGAAATTTTATATATAAAGACTAGCCAATGGTCCACCTTATATAAATGTGATAGGCCTTCCCTTCAGTATTATCAAGCTATAGGTATTTATATAATATGTGCAACGATAGGAAAACATCCTAAAAAAGAGTGAGGAAAGCGTATACATAATTATTTTAAAAAAATTTCCTAAAAATCAGTAGACACTTAAGGGATCCTGCGGCGCGCAGCGTAACTGGTCCAAATTTGAATTAACAAAAAAAAAAAAATAATTAAAAAAAAAACATTTAATTGATCTACGTGTCTATAGTTAGTAAAACACGTAGTATTTTTCAAAAACTTTTCGACGCCCACAATTGTTCTTTTATGTCATGCTTGACAATATTTAACCCATTTTTAAAAAACTTAAAATTCAAAATACATTTTATTTATTGTTGCTTTTTAAAATATTTTGAGATGAAAGAAATCGTATTTAATCACACATATATAATAAAAATAACGTCATTTATTAGGTAAACATAAAAATCTTCTCACATAACTACCAAATATGATAACATCTTAGTTAATGCTAGCGCTGATCACAATGAATGAATTTGCATAGCGCATCATGCGCTCAAATATCACAATAGGGCTTAATTCGCGTTCACATGTCGTTGATCATGTCGTTGATCAAGGACCTTGTATTTTATTGCTAGAATAAATATCGTTTAAATTATTTTTAATCCCTTGAAAAGAGATGGCAACATTGAATATGCGCAACAACAAATATATATTTTTATTTACATTTTCGACAAATACGAGCAAGCCGTTGGACCAAAGATAGAATATATGTGATCTGATTTAAATTAATGAAAACAATATTTTGAAATTGCCCCTAACGAAAAAATATCGGGCTTATGCTAATTATCGGAAGATCGATTAATCGGTTTAGTTGATTTTTAATTTAATCCAAAAAGAGAAGAATTTTTAAACAACATTTATTTTCTTAAAGAACCCTTTCAGATGGAAAGCGTAATTCCAAAAAATAGACTCGTTCATCTAACATAAGGTCTGTTATGGCCATTTACAATACATGCTTCGGTGAAAAATTAAAGTTTACTTATTACAGTAATTACAGGAACTTACTACACTAAATTCCTGGAATTTCGAAGCGTAAAGGAAAATTAATCTATACTATTCGGTAAAAATTTAGGTTAAGCTATAACATTCTTTTGCTCAAATAAAAAATAAACGGAACCCATATATATATAAAAATGGATGATGGGTGAAAAATTAACGAAACTAGCTTATAAATATGCGGCTGTGAACGTATATTGATTAAATAAATAGCACCACTTCAAAACCATCCGCTATAAAAATACCCTAGAATATAACTGGTATCAAAAGTTCATGAAATTAAATATGCGTTTATGTTCAGCAGATTAATCAATGGTAATTAATTTTCAAGAAGATAAAGATGAATTAACTATATGTTAGCTTTGATGCATTGTTTTCAAAAATATAATTTTAAAACAATATTGCTTGCATGCAAGCGAAAAAGTTTCCTGCGTTTTTTATATGTAGGTAACCATATAACATATCCAGAGAACAATCAAAGACGAGCGGGCTGGAAGGCAGGAGAACTGCCTGCCTGTTTGATTTTTATTTGCATGTAAGAACTTTTATCGCTCGGCGTATTTAGCCGAGCACAGGTAATTGGATTTCCGCTTTTAATATGTGCAGAGATTATGCAAACAATAAAGAAAAAAATAAAAAGATATAACATTAAAGTTAATGTTCATATGTCTTTTTGCTTTATGTCTTTACCTATCCATTTATAGCATTGAACATTCATCATTCATCATTTGCAGAAACAATTAATTGCTAGATTTAATGCAGCTTTTGCCTAATTTTAAGTGTAGAATTGTTTTTTTAGGTAGATTTGTCAAACATTTTTATTTGAGGTAAAAACTCTTTTCAATATTTTATAAATCTTTAGCAAATTTTCACCTACAGCGCACCAATGAATATCTAAAATATAAATCAAACACAAAAAACTCTACGCCTTCGTATCGAATATACCGAATTCCACTGACGACTGAAAATTTTTCGCTTTCATTCCTTTCATAAGAAATTTATTCTTTACGCTACTTCCTTTTTTTGTCATTTTTCATTTACGCAAGTGTCAACGCTGCAAAACATCGTATACGATTTCACATAAGTGTTGTCAGTGTTTCAACTTACAAGAATATGGTTATTTCAAAAGTGTATAAACCAAGGAAGAAAAAACAAACTATGTTTTTAGGTGACTTTGTCGAAAAAAAACGTTTGTTTTTTTATTAATTTATTTATTAATCAATGTGAATAAGTTGCTGAGTGTGTATCTGAAGGATGAGACTAACCCCTTCCAGCTTAAACGCTTATTCAAGGGAAGACTTATATATAACCTTGGAAACGCAGCGCACATAATTTGTGCATTCTATACAACATTCTTACGGAAAGAGGGATTAATGTTGAAATACACTCAGAATCAACTGATGCTGATCACCGGCAATCCCACCGGTGAATGGAAATATTTCAAAATATTCAGTTTAAAAAACTTAAAAATAACAAAAATACATTTTCAATGCAAACGAGCCTTGCATGTCGTTCAATTTTTCCAATAATTTACAGGCTGAAAATGAAATTAGCTTTAATTAAGATGAATACTTTTCTGTATATTCATTCCATTCCTGCGCACTTCTAATAGGTTCAGTCAGACCGTTCAAATTTGCTGCATAGTCCTCGCATACCTTTTTGACTTGTTGAACTCATTGTTACTTTTTTTACTTCGTGGGTGTTTTTCAATAAACGCCAAATAATAATTCAATTGCTCCTGAGCGGGTCTTTGGTAATCTCTTTTATGATGTACACAAAAAAAAAAAAAAATAATGTATTAATTGTTATATTAAAATTATAAAATGATTATAAAATTTACTTCGAATTTTTTTTTTATTTTGAAAAAATTTTTTTATACGCAAACACGTATATCTTCCATTTTTGACCCTTTAATATCTGATTTTTATAAAGTATTATTATTATTTTAATTTTAGACTAATGAATTGAATTCTTAGACTAAAAACAAGGCATTGAGCACTAGCAACGCAGGCTATCGGCTCTAATTTAAATAAATGGATATTAGATAATAAGCTTAGTAGTATTAATAAAGTAAAATATTGAATTGATATTCTGTTCTGAAGCTGATTGTAGAATGTTCAAAGGGTTAATCGTTCCAAATGCAATACTTCTAGCCAAGGAAAAGTTGAGGCAGTCGCAGAGAATGTGCTTTATAGTAAGAGTTTGTCCACAACAGCAGATTGGGGGAGAAGACTTCTTCAGGATCCATTGGTGAGTTGCAATTGTATGACCAAGGCGAATTCTCGAAAATGTTTGGATCTTGGTTTTCTCAACATTTGTTGGATATAGAGGTGGAGTTAATTGAGGGTTAATGCAAGAGTAGTGTTTTTTTATACGCAAACACGTATATCTTCCATTTTTGACCCTTTAATATCTGATTGTTATAAAGTAATAACCCCGTTTTAGCGTAAAATTGTTATTGGAAAGTTTTGCTGTCAATATTGTTTCATCATACGAAATTTGTAACAATGGGACAAAAACTAAGGCAAGCAAACACAAGCATAAATTTTATGATAGTTGAACTATAACAACGCGATTAATATAGAAATTTTCAAAATGCAAATAAAATGTTAAACTTTATTAAAAAAGACAAAATTAATAACTTAACTGTCTACTCTTTTTTAAAATTAGAACCGATAGCGCTTCTCTAAGTGTAATCTAAGAATTTCTCTCTTTTTTCGGTATGAATACAGTTAATACTTTTTAAATACCACTCAGGGTCTAACTAAATGTAAATAATTGGCAACGTCGAATGCACGTGCGTTTGTTTACAATTTTCTTGTTTTCCATCAAAATTATAAAGGAATTTTCTCACAAATTTTTCAATATTTTCGACCTTTGCAATGTCGATAGAACATGGTAAACTGAAATCTTAGGAAATTGTATTCATTTTTTATTATTTACCTTATATTTGTACGTAGAATTTACACGATGGCTTCGAAGAAACGACAAAAGTTTTGTGGAGAATCTTCGGTTTGCTATAAAGGCCTGGCAATCGGTGGAGTTTTCTTTAAATACTAAATATGAAATTATAATTGAATGGATATCGGAGCAGGACTTACTACAAGACGGTGATGTAGTTGTCGAAGACTTTGTAGAATTGCTAACTTTAAAAGTTCACCCAGGTATTGTAGGTCAGCAAATTAAGAGACAATTTGTTGAATGGTTATTAAACTTGGCGAAAAGACATTGTAATGTTCCTGGTGTAGCGGTCACACGTAAATGGCCAGAAATATTAAAATTATTAATAGAATTTGAGTTGCTACAAGACTTGTATCGTGTGGATTACGAATTGAATGCTCGCACCTATGCAGCAGTTTTCCAATGCTACGAAGAATATCTTATTCCGATGCGAAATGGTACTCCGTTTTTATTTAATCATGAGTCGGAATTTTTAATGTCAGTATTTAACACTTTAAAGGATTACATCAAACTTTGTGCAGACATTAGCAAGTACGAGAAGTGTTTCACAAAATTCACCATTGAACCCTTCGTGCGTGTACTGTTAGAATTACGTCAAAATTCATTAGATTTATTCGAACAATTAGTAGAAGTTGAACGATTGTTAACTAAGGAATTATCGGGATTTGACGCAGCGCTAAGAGTAGTAAAAATGCCATTATATGTTCGGCTCATGGTCTTAGAAAGCTCTTTAGTCAATAGGAAGTGCATGCCAGAATTTGTGCAAGAATTAATCAATAGGGGATTTAACGATTTCTTTAGTTTGTTAAAGTCATCCCAAGACCCCGGCTTGGTGTTAAATGTTGCAGCGTATACTTTGGAAATATTCAACCGCCACGATATTAATTTGAATATGAAAATGAATGATAATAATAAGACTATACTTGAATATTTGGGTTTTGAATTATACAACGGAATAAAACAATATACCGATACCCATACACTAGAGGTGTTGTTGTTGTTGCGAGCAGCGCTGCGCTTAAATCCACTTTTATTAGAGCAAAAGGTGTTTGAATTAACAGCCTGCATAATGTTAGCTCCCAAATCGAACGATCATGAAGAGAAGCATTCTTTCGAGGAATATTTGGTTCTCTTAATGGACATGTTTAGGCGCTTAAGTAGAGCTGAAAAATTTGTTGCAAATTTGTTAAAGGCAATTAAAGAACGGGTTGCCTTTGTTGAATTCGATTCCGGAAAAGTGATCAAAGCAAAGTCGCCAGAACGTATGCCTTCACCAGCTAAGAAGAAAAAAAAACTGTTTTACACTGATGATAAAGAGATTCAAATATGTTTGCGTATGATGTTTGACGATGTCTTTAAACCCCTTGATAAAAGTAAGTGCGAATCAGTCACAACGATAATTCCAACTGGTCACACTTTTGCAAAATTGCAAAATTTCTGGCCAAGTCGATCGGCGGGTGCAGCATTTTCAAAGCTTATAACAAGTTTAATGTCAAAACCATCACTTGTTATATGGAAAACATTATTGTTTTCTTTAAAAGATATATTAAAAATGTCCGCAACTAATTTGGATTTGGATGAAAAAACTTTGTTTCTATTTGATTTTCACGCAGCGCTTTTAAGTCAATACTTTGCTGGCTGCAAATTGATGGAACAGTACGAAACTCATTTGGACGCCATATCATCGCAGCGCCAATTTTCTTTCGAAATTTTAGAATTATTTGGAAAATTTTTACTAGAACGTGAACATCAAATTCGATTAATGAGTTCTTTTTTGGAATTGTGTTATAGTACGGCTTGTTTTGAATTAACATTGCTTTACTACAAAGCGGATAGTTGTCTCGATGAATCACTCAACTTTTCCAAATACGTTGAAGAAATGCATTCGTATCTCAGCCCTCAGGAATGGGTACTTGTCGAGCAAAGGGTTGTCAATTTTGGGAAACCCAATTGCAAATTTCTACTGCAACGATTACAATTACAGCGCGTTCAAGCAAAAATGCTATTGTTATCTCAAGCAACCAATTTACAATATTCCGTTTTCCCAACTCTCTCAACCGATCCTGTGTTGGTTAATTTAATGCTTCAGTCTCCCCATGCCGAATGGATGATAGCCCAATTGGAAATCAAAGAAAAAGAATTAATTGCCAAACATATTTTAACTAATCTTGATCTGTTGCCAATAGCTTCTCAGGATCTACAATTATTGGAATTAGTTACATTAGCCATTTTTGAAAATTTAAGCCAAGCTATTGCGTCGAAACGTTCAATTTTAAAATCTCTTACTTCTTATTTTGAGAAGATACGGGAATGCACTGAAATAGGCGCCTGTGAAGAGCTCATTAAGAATTTAATTGAAATTGTAATTGCTCGCTCCGAAGAAGACTATAAAGTGAAATCTGTGAATAGAACTAAAATACAAAATGCTCTACAATTATTAGGTCAATTACCGATCGGTCAGTTAAGGCGGCAACGTAAAACTATTGCGTTCATCGTAGAGTTGGCATTATATCGTGACATAAAAACGGCTCAAGAAGGTGATCTCGCTGCACAAACCTTAGAAATTATAAAAGGTACATAAAAATAATCAACAAATTTATTTATTACTATTATACCCATCATGAAGGCATGACAGTTATTTTGCACCTATTGGGTGTTTGCAAAAATTTTACATTCAATGACATACTTCGACGACGTAAGTTCATAATTAATAAGAAATTTTTTATGTTTATATATTTATCTACGGTGACTGATGTCCAATAATCGTAACAAAACGATCTAACAATTTTCTAATTCTCTCTATAACAACACTTTACAATGCTTTCCAATGTATTTAAGTTAATGTATGGCTTAAAAGCTATCATTGTGAGATCTAATGCAAACGTGTATCAGACTAGAATTCATACTATTATGTCAAGTGATCCCAAGCGATCTATCGATTCAGTCGCGATCAAGAAAAATTGCATTGCTCATATAGAACATAATTTAAGAAATGCTAAGCGTTCGTAAGAAAAAATCTGATCTATTCATTTGATTTTTTTAGGCCGAAGGACTGCCATTAGATTACTGAATAGTATACCTATCCAGCATTATTTGATTTAAGGAATTTTACATTACCTCAAATCAAGATTGTACTTTGGTTATTCGTCTTAACACATTTAATTTATCCTCTCTTTTTTAGATTTACTACATTTTGGTCAGCGATTGTTCATATTCAAATACTTTACTACGGAATCGTTGCTTAAAGTTTTACCTGCTGATAATTGTTGGGAGTTATATGAATATTTCTTTAGCACCATTAAAGACGAAGAAAAAGGCACTGAGCAATTTCTGGAAGGTTTAGCCACAATACTATTCAACTCCCAGTGTTCTAACATGTTAACAGCCGCAGAAAGGCGTCTTCTGATGATAAGCATTGAGACGTTAAACTCCGTTAGCGGTGTAAGCGCAAAGCGTCTCAGAAAACATTTAAACACATTTCTGGAAATTTTTATTGCTTATGTGAAAAACTATTTTTCATCTGAGCATAACGATCGCACGACAAAAAGTGACAAAAAATTCGTCCAAAATACCTTGTCCGGCTTTATTTACTATGCGAATTCAATATTAGCGAAGCAAAGTAACGCTGCAGACGATAATATAAATATACTAGAAATCGATGAAGATTTTAGACGTGTTGTTAAAACATATATTGGTCATTCGGTAAGTAAAGAATGAAATAGTAAGGGCTTAGCGGAGTAGGTAGGTATAATCAACTTATTTCATTTTTATTGCTCAGCTGTTGATAGCTCAATTTTCGGCAAGGAATCCTAAATTACTTTTTTCAAAATAATATCGCTATTGATACCGTCTCCTATTAGCCGTGATCGACCAAAGGTCGCTCGCGATAATGATCGTTGGTAGTGTTATTCTGAACACAGAGCTTTTTTAGTTTACAATCATATTAACATACGGCATAAAAAATCTGAAATCTTATTGCATACAACTTATGGACAGTAATACCCTATATCAGTGTATATATATATATATATATATATATATATATGTAAGCATGAAAGCAATAAATAGAATTAAAAAATGATTTTTAATCCATTGAAGAGAGATAACATATTTTTTTAAATTATCTCATTTTAGATAGACTACAGTGATATTCACGCCTTGAACTTGACGCATATCGCCTTAAACTATCGTGAACAACTGCATTTCGATCAAGATGAGATCGAATTTATTTTGTCTAATTATTGGCGGCAATTAAATAAAGCCATAGATAAAGGCGGGCTAGACGTACAAAAATTAGAACAAAATAAGACTGTCGAGCTGGCAGTAAAAATGATTACTAGCAATAAAACCAATGAAGATTTTTTGCTTATATTAAAAACCATTAATAATGAATTGAAAGATGAAAACATTGTCAGCATTTTAAGCCTGTTAAGACTTTTAGCGAAATGCCCTTTTAGTACTGTAAAGGGAGCGGTAAGCATTTGTTCTTTTGTGTAACTAAAAATGTATATATATAAATTTAATTTATAATTTCTCATTTAGATATTCAATGAGAATTACAAACAGATAATTTTTAACATTAATTTACGACTGATATCAAAGGAGGGTCAACGGATATGTAATTCATATCATAGCTGGTTGCTCGGTCTTTTAAAATGTCATCAGGCAATTATTGAAAATAAAATGGTGCCCATGTCAGCGGACAGTATTGACGCTATTATGACGTTCCTAGTGGATCTTAATATAAAATCATTTTCATTAAATGACACTAACCTACAGGAATTTTATTCAATTCATTTGGCTATGATTGCGGTTTGCTTTAGTCTTGTTAAACATCGACATCTATTCTTAATTGATCGCGTTCCTCAATACATGCATATATTTAAAGATCTAATTCAAGCAATTTTGTGGCATCAAAGTGATCGTCGAAAAAATGTTGGTTTGTCTAATGATGAACTTGATGCTTTAACTGAATCGTCTCTTAAACTTGAGTCTCTAATGCATTTAATAGCCCAACAGAGTATAGCTTTTAAACGTGTGGCTCCTTTCGTTTTAAGCTTCATTATTAACTTAATCGTAAGCAATAAGAGATCCACAACGTTGTATAATAAGGTAAGCTAAAGAATTTTGATATATATATATATATATATATATATATATAAATATGTTTCATAAGCTAATGTTGTTTTAATTGATTCAGATTAAGACACACATTGAAAATATTTGCTACGAGTTAATCGCTATTTGTGATCATCGAGTAGGTCGGTTTATATTACGTTGCTCAAATGAAGCTGGCCGTCAATTATACGAATTATTACTCAAAGACTATCAAAAGTATCATAAATTTAAGGGAAAAGTGTAATAATATTTATATTTTCGTGTAAAAACATCTTACGAAATAAATGTTCAAAAATTAAATTAAAAGTACACTCAGGTTTCTCAATCGGTTCGTTCCAAGATATATTATTGATAAAATTGTGGTTTTTGTGTTTGTCCCTGGCACTGTTGTTGCAAGTGCCGCTGGTGGTTTCATTTCTTAATTATACTGCTTCGATACTATATTCTTTTTTCTCTCAACCATGAATTTCCGTTTCTTTGCATACTGAGCTGATCTTTTCGCGCAAAATTTGTACTGAAAAGACCTTTAACTTTCCGAATAATGAATGATTCAATTTATTATAAGCTATGGATGTCGCCCCAACTGTATGCCGAACAGATGTTTAATAACTCTTCGAACAATTTATTGGGTTTTGTAGTAGACGGGATCCATAATAGCTATATATCTTGATAAGATGTGTAGCTTTCTAAACAATCAAATTCTTTGTTGTGGTTCGTTTCCAATCTTAAAAGATGTTAATGGCAACACCGTTCGAGTGGTCTATGTTACGGCGATGATGCAGAAACTGCCTACCGAAAGCAAAGATGCTGACTATGACGTTAGTAAATGTTAGGATCACCCACATCGTGAGCGGCAATATAGAAACTTTCGGCTGTTGTTTTTGCTGCTTTGCCGCTGTAGTTCTTGTATTTGTGGTTTTGCTTGCCTAGGCTGGTCTGATTGACAGCCGTGAAAATAGTTGCCACAGGCGTGTCATACTTTCTCGTGGCCGCAGCATGTGAATATGTTCTTCCTATTCGCGTTCATGTATTTGTAACTTTGATTGTTCTTGAAATTGATAGTCTTGTTGGCTGTTGCGGCATTTGTAGTATTGCCTCAGTAGTGTTTGATGTTGTAATTACGAGTCTTTAGCGGTTTTTTCGGTTAATATTTTCATAATTGCCTGTTCCGTTGCTTTGACTTTTCTTTATACCTGAAGTTCTGTAGCTGGTGCGTTGGATACTGATTTTTTGGTTGCAGGTTCCGTTATGGGATTTGTTGCTTCTGGGGACTTTGAGGATTTTTGAAATCGTTTTTCTTTGCTTCCGTTATTCTTGTTGCTATCAATTTATTATTTTTTAGACCTTATTGTGTATATCATGGACTAATGTGGATGAATGCAATACCGGCTTAACCCATTACTTGTTCGTCAAACTTATTCGATTGCATATATGGAGACCAAATTGTGCTCAATTATCGTTCAAGATTAAGAGTTGCTACGCATTCAAAGGACTTTGGTCTTATCTTCATACATTCAAATAACATTTCTTACTTAACTAAATAGTTAGCTAAAAATCTCCGAGAAGACACTGTGCTTGATAGATAATTTCACTTCTACGTCTGCAAACTTTCTTCAAATATATAAATTCCTAGATTATTTCTGCGTAAACGGTGGGAAAAATAAGAGTATTCTCCATTTTTGATTAACAAACGTCCAAGTCATTTATGTAAATATAAGTTTTATTTAGAATTAGAATTTGTAAAGGTATGCATTTAAATATATCATTCAAGTTTTTAACAGCATTACACAACCATTCGAAAATAAGAATTTATGTACACATTAGGCAAATAGAGAACATTTCTCGCAAATAGGACGATCGGAGGTGCCACAACCACTACAAAACAAATTTGTAATGATAAAAAATGAACAAGTTTTCAAATTAAGAATATAATAATATAACAATACTTGATTCAATTTATGAATTGACGCATGGGTTACACTTACAAAATTTCTACACATAAATTGCATAAAAATATTCCGCAGTCATTGCAAGAATAACCGCAACCTTCGCATAAAGCTTTATGACAATTGCAGCATTCGCTTTGTACATAGGTTTCGCGATCACAACATTTGGCTTTACGTTTCACCCAAAGGAACTCGTCAGATAAATCTTCAATGCCTCTTACCATTTCAATGACACCATTACCAGATAAATTAACTAATTTCCACGGTTGAGCCTTCTTTGAATTTTCTGATGTTCGATTACTATTAAATGAGCGTGCCGCCTGAAACAGCAGTTTTGTGGTCCTGTCTACACAATTAAATAAAATTCAATAAAGTGCATTAATTATTAAACCATTTCAGAGCAAAAAAAAAAAAAAAAATACTCATAAACGAAACGATTGCTTGATTGCAGGGAATAAAAAAACCGAAAATAAAAATATGGTCATATAAAAAACAATTTACTTTCCAGCACCTACCATGAATTTGTTTCATTTTGTTATCATCATGCGAGTTCATAATTTTGTCATTAATGTACATTTTTGCTTGGAGTCCGTAAAGAGCATCTTCGGATCTGTTTCTCTTCAAGCTTATCTTTTCCATTGAAATGTCTTCATAAAATCAACAATGTAACAATAATTAATAAATCAACAAGCTGCGATATAGTTTATGGATAACAATAAAACCCCTTAATATACCGCAAACTATTTAAACAAAAATATTTTTAATTTGTTTGTAAACAATAGCGTTGACTTTCTTGCTCAGTGACGATATTGCAACGATCTGCGATAGCATTTCAACACAGCTATCGATCATCGAAAATCATAAAATGACTTTTCTGATATTTTATATAGCTTGCGTCCAAAAAATTTCAAACTTCCTTCGGCCGAAATTTGAAAATCTAATGTTAAATCGTTCTGAACAAAACTTAACCTGAAAGTTAGCTAAATTTAACAGTAAATGTTGATACTTAAACTTCGCTTTAATATTTTCTCCAGTTAGCTGCTAACTCACAGATTAAGTAAGAAAAAACAGCTGATAAAAGCAATTATATGATTAATAAAATAAGAAAACTATTCACAATAAATAAATAAATCGAAACTTCAATCACAATAGTCTAATGACATACAATTAGTGGAAAGTAAATAATTCAATTTCTGGTTAAGGGTTCAGTTGAAAAATAGTCTTTTTAATAACTTTCAATTAAAATCCGATATGCGGGCTTCAAGTCCCGTTAGGTTTCATAACAGCTCAAAATTGTTTTTGTATGCAAAGTAAACAAACGCAATTTAGAGCAGCCATACGAGGGACCTCATAAAATTATTGAAAAGCATAACACATATTTCAAAGTAAATGCAGATAACATCATTAAAACATTTCCAATCGATCGGCAGAAATTAGCAAAGACAGAAAACACAAAAACTGCAGATACTGCGCACGAAAAACACATTACTTTTAATTTATTCGGTAAATTCTTCAAGAACTATGGTATACAAATAGACTTATAACGTATTTGTAATAGAAAATAGTTGGAATTACCTGCAATTCCTGCCAATCATATTATTATTCATATTTTATTTTATAGTTTCTCTCTATTTATAGTGAACTAAACAAGGCAATTTTTAGTCAGTTTATGGTCCCAAAAACCGCTTAACTTAAATCAAATCCAAACAACATCCAAACCAGCGATCATATCAGAGAAAAAAACGAGGAGTATAGGGCAATCGAATTCATTCATTTGGTTGTACACTTCGACCACAATTGAAATTTTGCCAAAATACATTTACTGTATTATAAATAAAAACTGGGCGAATGTCTTAAAATAGACAAAAGGTTTACTGAAGCAACTTTCATTCCACTGCAGACATCCTCGTAAAATTTGACACAAACATTAATCATGAAGATCTCAAACTGAAAGATAATGGTCCCATGTACTTAATTAACTGGTAATTAATAGAAAAGTTTTTCATTGAACTCGTGGAGATTAGTATTTGCAGAGTCTATAAAAATTTCTAGGAATATAGAAAATTTTTGAAAATGATAAATTACTTTTGGGAAAACTATTGCAATAACTTAATGTATTTTGTTATATATCTCAGTTCTTAAATAATGCATAAGTTTTTTTATATAGTTTAGGTACTTATGAATTATGCAATTCCTAATAAGTTTTTATATATCTAATATTATAGAATATTCAATACGCTTTTTAGTACATTCTAAACAATTAAGGAAAGGTGTCGTAAAAGTAGAACAGACATTCGTATAAATGAATGCTGTTCAAATATTAGGATACTTACTATAACCATAACGAATTTAATACAACACAAAAGAGCAAATAGGAGTGGTCTTTGAGACTCTGAAAATGCTGAAAGTAAAATTGAGTTGCTGGATCGTGATGGAAGTTCAAATCAATCTAAAAAAACATCTGTAAAAGATATATTGAGTGCTTCGTTTATTCGGATAGTGAATTCGAAGAAGAAGGCTAGGAAGGAATTGTTACGGTCAATGCTCTTTAATCGGAAATATTGGAACATTGTAGCATTTGATGAAATTACCGCTGTAGTTCGACTTTTAAAAGTTTGCGGCTCACCTTATAAAATCTTGTTGGAGCTAGCGCTTAATCAAATGGTCCGAAAAGTAGGTTACGCAGACGTTGGATTACACAGACGGGACAGAGAATAACGCGGGCAAGAATGTGTAATTAATGTTACGGGAATACCTGTGCTGAGCGTACAAAATTAATAGCAATATAATAAATTTATCGTTTTTTTGGAGCATTTTAACTATCACAAGCGTAGACCGTGATCATTTCTTGAATCAACCTTCGGATTTGTCTTATGTCAAACCTTTAATATGAGGTCACTCACATTTTGAAAACATTAGACCAGTGCTATCAACGTTATATATGTACCTCACTTGCACAGCACTTGTGAATTTTCTTGAAATATATCCGAATAACATGGTTTTTTAAATATCTCGACTGAATCGTAAATAGAGAAAATAAGAAAAACACGCTATTATAAGATACTGTAGTTTTTTGTCTATGGATAACCGATGAAACCCATTCTTGAGTATTATCTAATTTTTTTGACCACAAAAAATGTCTCAAATTAGTATTATTAATCTCAATGCTTTTTCCACAAAATAATAGTAAGGCATGGACAATTTAAATTTAAAGTATTTATTTCGTTCATTTAATTGATAAACGTATGATTGCCAACTTAAAAGGCTAATTATTCCTAGCATTTTTTTATTTTAATATTAAATTCCTATAAAGCATTTAAAAGCCAAGTAAAGTTTAACTTTGCAAAGGTGGGCAATCATATTTCCCAAGAAAGGTAGCTAATTTCTTGATGTGATATTACTGATTAAGTGAAGACAAGTGAACACATGAAAATTCAGTCGCTATGCGATGTGATGACGGCGGTTGGATTAAAAATAAATTACATTTACTTCGCTTTCTACTAAGTTTTCGCATAAGATAAATTTATCAAAATCTCAAGTACTTTAAAAAAGATAATCTCTGTGGTTATAGTTTCGAAGTAAACGAAAAGTATTACAAAGTTCAAGTTTTATGTAAATAGCTAAATTTGGATAACCAATAGAAAATCAATTACTAAAAAGATATATAAGACATAGTAGACGTGTTTGTATTTAGTTTAATTTTGACACATTTGCAAAACAATGAAAGAATATCTCAAGTGAAGCCAAGTGAAGCAAAGTGAAAACTCTCAAGAAATATCTCGACGTTTACTTATGCAAAGAAAATCTGGGAAACAAACGAAAAAAAAAAAAAACTTTTAAATAAAGCAAATAATACCGTGTAAAGTAATATTTTCAATGTTATTTGTGTTGTGCATCTACCACTTTTACTAAATAGACCACAATATTGTTTTACTTTTTACTCTTTAAGTGTTAGTGTTTGCACATGATATACATATATGTATACTTGAGAAATGTATAAATTAACCATAAAGGCATCTATTCATTATTTCGTGAAAACATTGCAGTGCTATTTATTTAAAGCGTGTATATATACAACTATATACAGTTCCTAACGTAGGGTTCACTTTTATTTCTTTTTTTTTTTCTTATAATAAATTTCACTTTATACGCTATCAACAATCGAACGTACAAAACAATGTCAAGAGTTCAAAAAATGTTAGAGAGAGGATGTTATCATAAGAAATTATATCATCAATTATTACAAATTTATCTATTGTTTTCTGTTCTTCGCATTGGAGCTGTAATGCTGATGACACCATCAGAAGAAGCAGGTCTTTCAAATGCTAGCTCAATGAATATAAGTCAGTTAGCTATGACAACTGGTGCTCCGAATGCAACGCCACGTTTGCCGCCACGTCGGATAAGGTTGAATAAGTGCTGTCTTTACGGAGAGTATTTGGATAACACGAAAACATGTGCGGCTGGAAGTTCTGAGCGCTGGATTCCGGTAATATATTTGATATATAGGCAATCATACCACTCTCCTCAGGGCTCTGCTCCAAAATTCATATCATTTGACGACAACGTGTTTCCTATTGGCGTGGCACGCAATATCAACGAAGCTAACAACATAACTGACGAAGTAAGATGCACTGTAGAAGATTTAGAGCTATTCACTGGCACTGGCATTGTGATATTCTCAAATGGTTCATTATTTATATCCGAACGAAACATAGCCGTCCCACCAAATAGATATTGTGTTGATCAGCAAGCAGCTTTAGTTTGTTTTTTTAAATCAAAACTCGAAGAGCCTGCGTTGAAATTGAGAAAATGCTGCGGCGAATATGGAGTTTACGATGAAAAGGAAAAACAGTGTAAAATTGAAAGCTCTTATCGAGCCAATTTGAAGTTATTATTAGACGAAGGTGACTATCAAACAATTTACGGTTTTCCGGAGTGTAAGGAGGGTTCCACCACATATGCAATCGCGGGAGATTGGTTGGAAAGTCAATTGCACATTGATTCTGGACACATAAATTTGCCCAAGCATAAAGTGAACCTTTCATCTAATGATTACTGTTTAGAATATGCACGGATCGGTAATTCCACCTCAGAGACTATGAAGATCTTCGCTTGTTTACATCACTTGGATCCCGGCGCTTTAACTAAGTCTAACGAAGATCTTAAAGGCACTAATCATAGTGATTTATTGCAAATAGCTCTTCTTGACATGGGTATAGTCATTTCAGTGCTATTTTTGGCTGCCACTTTAATAGCTAGCTACTTAATGCCTTCGGTTCATCATGTTCTCCACTGGAGATGCCAAATATATTATGTAGTTTGCTTATTGATTGGAGATCTGCTATTAGCTTATACGCAACTTTCGAAATCTCTGGATTTGGAATCTTTTCTATGTCAACTTATTGCTAGCACTATGCATTTCTTCTTTTTGGCTGCTTTTTTTTGGCTCAACACCATGTGTTTTAATATTTGGTGGACCTTTCGCGATTTTCGGCCAAGTTCCTTGGAACGCAATCAAGAACTGTTACGTTTACGCCTTTACTCTGCGTACGCTTGGGGCCTTCCTATGCTTATTACAACCATAGCCGTCTGCGTAAATTCGGCGCCCGAATCGTCTTTATTGCGTCCAGGTTTTGGAGAGCATGGATGTTGGTTTAGCGGTGAAAGACTTTCAATTTTTGCCTACTTCTTTGGGCCAATAGGTGTTCTTCTTTGCATTAACATAATGCTATTCGTTTCGACGACATATCAGCTCACTTGCGGCCTTTGGAAGCGTGACGATGTTAAATCTACGACAGAAAAAACTGCTTTGGGGAAAGTATGCCTTAAACTTGTAGTTGTTATGGGTGTCACCTGGATCGCCGATGTATTATCGTGGATAATTGGTGGACCGCATTCGGCCTGGTTTTTTACAGATCTTATCAATGCTCTTCAAGGTGTTTTCATTTTCCTTGTGGTTGGCTGCCAACCGCAGGTTTGGGCTGCCTGTAAACGTTTCTGTTGTCGTCGTTCTCGCCAAGAGATTACAAACACTACGAACGGTGTGCAACATTCTAGCTCGTCCCAAGGTCTGCCGTCTCTTGCTGCTTGCGGCGCAGAGATTACACAGAATACTTCAATACCGAATACTTCCAATAGCTGCACTGGGCATAATACCTCGACACTAGCAACAAAAATTCCTATGGAGACTGTATGTTAAGTTTTTAAATGGTAAGTTCTTTGAACAATTTTTTTTTAAAGCATTTTAAAATTTATGCTTATCTCACATTTTTATTTTGCAAGCAATTGATTAAGAAATGTTCACACCTTGCCCTAAACCAAGCCAAGAAAAAGCTTAGATACCCTTACCTTTATGAGTATAGACGGCGTTAAAAAAAAAATGTAAGCCTCTATTTTACATAGTTCCGTGTCATGCGGGAGAATATCAATCACCGACATTTCGGGTATTTTCATATATCGGATCATATTGAAATTTTCTACACACCTTTGTATCTGATAACAATATAATATGTGACACTTAACTTTTCTGTACGCTGAAAATGACGATCGCAAAGTGGTGCGGCGTCTCTTTCTTAGCAATCCCTTTGAGATGGATATCGAATGGAAAGGTTTAGATTGTAAAATGCAGCGAACTACATGTCGCCAGTTTAGGTCGAAGTAGCGGATTATCCTTTTCTTAAGATGGGCTTGGGAAAGGGGTGCTTGAAGCTTGTTAATTCCAAATTAAATATGCGGACGTCACGACATAACGATGTAATTTTTTCTCAAAATTCCGTTCCACATTCGTATCGAATGAGAGCGGCGGCCGCAATCTTTAATGTATACTAACCTAAAAGTGACTCTGGATAGAGGTTTATTGGTTGATGTAAATACTTCTTTAATGAAATCTCTTTTATATTGTTTATGTTAACTGAATATTCTAACGTTGAATTGCTTCGAACTACATCGACCTCTGGCACTGATTAAATGAATTATCTCACCGATATTCGTATTAAAGGACGGTGGTATTAAAATAACCACCTCACCGATAGTAATTATTTTTTCGAATCATATTAAAAATAGAATTAAATTTTGTAGATGTCGTGAAATTCGATAAATGCCTATTTGGCGCGGAACCGAAAGATAGTTTCGGACGACATGGAATAGTGTTTCGTTAGTTCATTATACATTATTTATTGTCTGGCATGCAAATCCATCACACTTCATAAGATTTTAAAATCAACAATCGATTTTCGGAAATGCATTATTTATTACATAGCGTATAGCAGGAGTAATATATAGTGGCATCAGTATGCGAGTTTTTAAAGATACGATGAGAGACTAAACATTACATTATTTCGAACTCTATTTTTGGCAGGTGCGTTTTTATACCCAAATCAGAGATTGATATATATATATATCAAGTTCTGTATCGATTGAAATACATTCGTCTGTCCGATTATCCGTCTGTTGTAAACATTCTCTTGGCGGCAAAAACTAGGCTATCGACTTCAAATTTGGCAGAAACTTTTGCAAGTTCTTAGACGCACATTGCTATTGAAAATGGGCCAAGAATACGCCCACAAGACCACCTATACTGGGAACATCTCTGTCTTTTTCAATAAAAGTGAAACACTGGCTTTATGCTCTTTGCTCATAAATTATAGCAGATAAATACATATTCTGAGGGGTGATGCTGTGGCAAATATGCAAAAATTGGAAAAAAGTGACCACACGTACATCCATCATTGCAGTGTATGAAATTTTACTTTTTTTCAATACCTTTATAACGCACAGAAACAAGCTTGAAAAACAAACCCCTATAAAGTATATAAATTCTTGGACAATTTCAAATTTGATATGCACCTAAACATCCTCATCTGTCCATCTGTCTGTTTGTGCAACGTTGTAATTGTTGTACAAACATGGAGATATCGCCTACAAATTAGCAAAACAATTGGGAATTGATCTAAAGTTTTCAAAGGACACGCCTATAACGCTCATATGCCGCTACGATAAATACTTTTGTTTTGAAAATAGAAGAAATCGGCTGCGCCCACTTCATATTCTAGCGCGATGAAAATTTTGTTCTTTGACTTCTTTTGTCTTTTTTAGGATAACGATGATGGGTATGAAAAATTCGGTCCTAAATGAATTTCATTTTTTTTAATTCACCTTTTATATGCTTAAAAAAAAAAAAAAAAAAAAAACAATAGAAAAAATATGTGCGTTTTTTTTTTCTCGTTCGATAGCCCGGCTTAGTTAAGCAATTTGTGGTTTACCGAACAAATTCATATTCGTTGTAAAGATAACGAAGAATAGGTGAAAATGTTTTCATGACTCAGTTAATTCTCAGATATCTTATCTGCCAAAGTTAACACTTGAACTAAAGTGCGTACGGTAAGCATTTAAAATAAATCTTTTTGCAAAGTACTCGCAATTACAGTGCATTTGAATTCAAAGTCCGTCAGAATGTTTTCTATTATGCATTGAAATAGATACAATGGAAGTTAACCAGGTGGTGTAGAAATAATGAATATTGCAGCAAGCAACAATGTTGTTTTATGTTGACAGTACTTTCAAGTCTTATGATATTATGATATTCTTCATCATTTTGTTCGCAAGTATGTTACTACAATCAACAACAAATGTTAAGAAATTCGTATATGCGACGTTTTATTGTTGACTTGTTTACTTGCAATTATTATATGACCACTAGAATTTAGGATTGGCCAGTTATAGCCAGTTACATACATTTACACTGTAATATATATGTAAATGCATTATATATGTTTGCACGTTTATGCATATATTTATTAATGCATTTGTATATACAAATTTGCATATTTTAATAAATATATACATACATACATACATACATACATACATGCATACATACCTACCTACGTATATAAACATTATGTTCACGTATAAGAAGACTATGTGATCAAATGAATAAATAAATTTAAAACAATGCAGTACAATGCACTTTACTCTCATTTCGAAAGTTCAGTTCATTCGCTTGGCCCTATTTACTTTTTCATTTTCCATTATATCAAAGGATTTAATACTAATGCGTTCGCTTACTTTCGAACTATTTGTCCCCCCCGACCGTCCCCTACAAAATATGTATACACTTGATTAGCGTGAAATATTGATGAATCGTCCTTTCGTTTATTTATATATATATATATATATATATATATATATATATATATATATATTGTTAATGACAATTCCTATACACATCATAGTTACACTATTTTTTGTGTGTACGTTCAGTTTGATTAATCTGTTATATTAAATTTGTTATGCTTTTGGCACGAATCTCTTATGCTAATGCTTTGGTTTAAATAGCGGAAATATAGCGATTTTTCACGCATGCTAAACCGGTAAAATGGTTTGGTGAAATATTTTTGTGAAATAATGAAGCATCCATTGAAAACCAGTAAAAATCTTCATATTCGAATTCGTTCGCTAAGAGTGTGTTAGTTTTATTTAATTATAATTAACAAAAACAGAAAGAAAAAAAAAAATTTTTACGTAAGAAATTTATGGTCGGCGAGGACCGAATCTCGCATACTCATCACTATACCACTTTTTTGCATTCTACTCGTCAAGTTCTTTTATTTGATACCCATATCGCTGGTCACTATTTTAGAAAAATTTAATCGCGGTGTCTATCAGATTCATTTTGGAATTAATCCATTTTTAGGCAGATCTTCATTTGAGGAATGCACAAAATAGTTTTAAAAACTTTCGCTCTAGTTTGACTTATGATAAATAAGCATTAATTAATTAAACCTCAAAAAGAGTGAAGAAAAATTCAAATATAATCACTCGTAACTTTGTGTGGATTGATTCCATTTTTTCACCTAGAGAGCAAAATGTGTCTCGTAAAGCAAATGTGAAATGCCTTTCAGCCTTTTAACATTAATAGTTCCCGTGTAACGAGCACAAATCCAATAATTGTTGTAAAAAAAAAAAAAAAAAAAAAAAACGGAGTTACGTTCAGTTTACGATCCATTGCGCACTTCTGCTCTAACCAATTCGACCCATTTTCAATACCAATTTGCGTGCAAAAACTTTCTATGCTTCTACAAAATCCAGAGTCGATATCTTCATTTTTGACATAGATACGCAGACGGACAGACATGGCTAAATCAACTCCGAATTTCACGTTGATCAAGAATATATTTATCATTTTCTAGGGTCTCTCAAGCTGCATTTTAGTCGTTATATACATGAATGAATTACATACATTACATGGAAAATACAAAATGACTATACATCTCACGTACATCTATCACGCAGTGGTGGGTTTATATATATGGAGAGAGTAGGACCTACAATAGATTCCATAAACGAGGGTTTGGACATTCAGAAATAATATAAACAGAATGTAAATGCAGCGTTTGAAGATATTATTGATTCCAAAACTGCAGAAGAAGCATTAGTCGCGAGAATGGTATGATGCGATGCGAAGATGCCATACAACTCATTATTCAAGAATCATAAATGGGAAATAGCAGATTTTCTCAAAAATGATTTCACGGTAGATTATAAATGGGTTTCAAATCTGAAAATTAAGTCCAATGGAACTATTGATGAGAATCAAGCAAGCAACGTGAATTTCTAAAGGCTATTCACAAAAATATAGACAAAACTGCGTTGACCCGTTTCCTCATATAGGTCACCGAATAGCAATAACTACTTTTACTATTAGATCATATTGAAAATTATGTTTTTTTGCCTCTAGATGGTATTGCTGCCTATATATCAGGCAATACTCAACTGATTGTCGCAAACGAACATGTACTTAAAAAAGGTGACACATCTGCTTACATTTTTTATGCAGATAGTTTTCTTAATTCTTTGCTTGGGTAAAATGTTATATTGATTTGAAAGTGAGTAAAATATCTGAGGTAATAAATACGCTATGTAATGCTTTTTCACTACAAAAAAAATGAAAAAAGACGACGCTGGAAAAAAACATTTCGTGAAGTGTACTACGGTGAGAGTGCTGTGAGTGAACGAAGGACACCCCAGGAGCGTGATTTGCTCGATTACGTTTCGGAAATATCGATGTCAAATATGCATCTCGCAGCTACTGAAAAAGTCAATGAAATTTTGCAACTGCTTCAAGCATAAACGGCATGAAACGGCTGTCAGGATATAGCGAAGGCACTCAACACCACCGAGCACATGACAGCTTAGAATAATTTGTGAAAAGCAGGCTACAAAAGCAGCTCGAAACTGCGGAGACTTTTCAATATGACCTATTATGTGCGTTAAACGCGTTATGCGTTTTAGGCAATTTGAAGTTAAGACACAGTCAGACAGTCAGACAATCAGACGTTTCAAATACATTTATAATTAGTGAGCCTAAGCATATTAGATTAATAATTGTTGTTGATAATCTTATTATTACTTGAAATGATGATGATGATGACTATAGATCGAAAAACATTTGTAAAAACATTGAGGAAACATTTCGATATAAGAGACTCGGGAATATCAAAACATTGTATCGGTTTCGAAGTAGAAATGAAAGATAAACAAATCTCTATAAGTCAGCCGGGATATATGGAGAACAACATAATCAAGAAATACGGTCTTGAAAACTGCAAACTCCGTAAATATATTCATGGAACAAGTTTTAAACAAGTTGGAAGAGAAGTGAAAAGTCCCTGGAGAAGCATAAGAATTTGACTCCAAAGGCGTATTACGAAACTACTGGGTCCTGGGTGTTGTACTTGACTTTGTATAGCAACAGGCCAGACATATCGCATTGTATGTATGTTGCTAAAGATCCTAGCAAACAACATATGAATGCAGACCTTAATATGATTGGCGTGTGATCGAATCTTCTATACCCATCACTGTTACCTTAAAGAAGATAAAAAAAAAAAGTAAAGGAATTACATTTTCACGCTCTCTAATATAGAGTAGAGTGATATCTATTTTTTTTATATTCAAAGTTTTTATGGTATGGACGCGTGGGCGCGTGGGCGCGTGGGCGTTGTAACCGTATCCTTTGAAAAGTTTAGATCAATTCCCAATTCGTTTGCAAACTTATAGGCGAACAAGAGAATGTTTACCACGGCTCCTATACGACAGAAAGATAGGTGGACAGATGGACATGCTTAGATATATTTAAAATTTGAAACCAATTTGTTAACAGGGGTTTTGTTAACAGAAATGGTCGATGTCTTTGCTAGTGAAAATTCGAATTTTGTCTTCACAAGCGTTGTTCATTCCTCAACTGGAAGATATATTATCGGCTTAAAAATTGGGTTAATTTGAAAAAGGGATACGATAGACATAGCGATTAATTATTTCTTAATAACGACCAGCGATATGGGTATCAAATAAGAGTCAGTTCAACTGCCCTCCGACTCAGATATTGGGGAAATTGCAACATTGTTCAGTGATCACTAATTTATTAATTCAACTGTGCATGTTTTTGTTCGTCGTCGTTCGATTGAAAACTGATTTTAAGGGAAAATGCATTTATTTACTTTATTCGTTAAATTAAATTGCTTTTGTATTACTTGTTAATTTACAAAAACAACAAGTTATTTGATTGATGTTTTACTTATGAAAAAAAACTTACTTAAGCAAATTTTAATAAAAATATGAATTTAACTGTAAATATTCATTAAGTCATTCATAGGATGTTATGATATATTTTTTCGGAAAAGTGAAAATTTGCTGTGACATGATACCAACTTGGACTTGTAATGTAACCGGTTCCGGAAAAGTGGTTATTTTAGATATTTAGAAAGATTTGAACGATCAAATTTAATAGTTGTATATACTTATATTTTTCATTTCTTTATAATTTTTTTTTACGTGGAAAATTCGCCTATCACGATTAACGCAAACATCGAAGCAGTTAAATTGCAAAAGTATACCTTTTTTAAAAATCTTTGTGTGTGTCCTAATATTATATTTAAACGGGTCGATGTTCACGCTGTAGGAAAACAAGTAGGCGTTGGTTTTATTTTTTTTTTTTTGGGATGTCAAGTTTTCTTTTTTGTTGGGAACGTTTTTTTGATTATTCAATTTTTGAAAATATTCAATTGAAGTACGTCATCCGTAAAAAAAAGACTTTTTTTAAAAAAAAAAATAAAATAAAGAAAAAATAATCATTTCTTACGGCACTTAAAGAAGAGCTAAAAATAACTAGAAGCAGTTAGTTTTAACCAATTGAAGATCGCTTGTTTCAAAGGAACCAAAAAAAAAAAAAAAAACACACAATGTGTGAAATTGTGCACATGCAAGCCGGTCAATGCCATAATCAAATCGGTGGTAAATTTTGGACATGACCGCAACGAACGAATGTTGAATCGGCTGACGGATAAGACTTTACGTTGATGAAGGTATATTATTGATTTGCGAAATTCCCTTCGTTGTGCATAAATTTACTTGTGCATAAACTATTAAGTATCAAAATAGGTGCTCGAGGCCGCGTACAATTGTGCGAACATTGGGTATAAGGCTTAGCATAAGCATATCAACCTAGGTTGATAATAAATTCTAATCTATATATATATATATATATATATATATTTATGTATATATTTATTCTAATCTTATCTAATGTATGTGTTTCCTTTTCTTTATAGACAATGTTACGGTAGCTGTCATCGATATATTTGAAAATTTTATTAACAAAAGTCTGATTAATGCTGTGTCTGGAATATAGATAAATTGAGAAGAAAAGGAAACAGAGAAAAAAAAAAAAAAAAAACGAAAACAAAGAAAGACACGACAGCGTGCTGACAATCTGATTTAAAGTGAATAATTCATTTAATATGCGGGCATGTGTGTACAAACAAGTGCATATGTGCCATGAATGGAATTTAGTCTTTTTCAACAAATGTTCTTTGGAAAAGTAATCAAAACTAATTGAAAACAGAGCATTTATCTGTGAAAATTGTTGCTATATTTCTCTCTCTCTCTCTACATATATAATATCAGCAACGCGCCGCCAACTAAAAAAATCATTTTTATAAACGATTCAAAATCATTGCGTTAAATACTGGTGCGATTTGCTGATTTCATCTTATTTGAAATTTTTGACGCCAGTATACCTTTTGCCTCATCCTTCGCAGCAACCGCAATCAACAACAAAAAAACACAACCAGACGTCGTGCTAGCTGGAGAAGCAAAAAAAATGAATAAAAGAAACGAAACGAACAAAAACAAGCCAAACGTTTGTAAGTGCGAATGTATGTACATTAGTAAATAAGTATATCTGTATATGTATTACTCGTATACGTATGTATTATTCGTATATCTACATATTTGCTAAAAAGCATATTTTTATCTAGGGCTTCATTTTTTATTTCAATTAAAAAAAAAAAAAAAAAAACAATTTTTCTTTTTTTTTTCATTCTGTTTTTTATATTAAGATTTTTAACGAATGTTTTGCATTAATTATTTAATTTAATTTAGCTACTATTAATTGTTTTTGCACACATACGCTCTTCATACTGACTGACTATACTCCTACGGACAGATTGGGGGTCATATCCTATATACACGTCGAAATACTTGGTGGAGCAATATTTGCTATTTTTGCTGCATATAAATAAACTGAAATTTGCAAAGTTAAGTAGATTCGCTTAAATTCATTCCATCAAAGAAGAAGCATGGGAAAGCCTCTAACATGTCGTCCAATTCGATTAAATTTAAATAAGACAGCAAGTGCAAATGCCAGTGACCGTTGCCTTGAAGAGAGAATGCGAGAGCCTTGAGTTGAATATTGAAGCGCTTAACGTCCCACACATTTAGTTGCTTTCATTTTAATTTGAACGAACAAATAAGAGAGTTGTTAATTAATATTTTTAATTTGTCATTGACACTAGCTTCCCATATAAATACAACTGAACGGTACTAGTTACATAAATGACGTTACTATGCAAGACTTTTTCGATATATGTATGTATTAAAATTATAACTACAAATGGGGAAAAATTTTGTTTTTTTGTCAAAACGGAAGACATACTAAATAAAACACACATACATATAGGACGTATTAAGTCTGTGCGAATGTATACAACACACAAAAAGACTTGAGATAGATAGACTGATCAAATCAAAATCACTTTGCGTCTGTCTGTTTGATGTCCCTCGATATAATTTTGTGTCCAACCTATAGGTCGCAATTTTTGAGATATTTTCCTTCAAATTTGATATTATGACGACGACGAAGCCTATTGAAAATAATACCGATTGCACCACTTTTTCTCCCCATACCGGATTATATTGAAAAGCGGTTATATGAAAAACATGTAAACCATTATAATCGGGCTAGGCCGACAATTAAATACCCTAGAATACAAAAATGACACCCTTCTTCACCCACTTCTACAAAGGCAAACTATTCATGTGCCCAGTTATGAGGAAGCGGGCCCTAAACACAACGTGAGGTAGTACAAATTTACCAATTTTAATTTTATTGTCGATGATTGATAATTAAGTACACTGTACAATGTACTCTTTGTTGCCCTATAAGGGTTATCTTTCGCGATAAATATTATTCTTCAACGATTTTTCTCGAGAAATTTTTAAAAATATGCAAGTTTTCTAACAAATGAAATCTTTATTTTAGCGGTACATTTTGCGGCCTGCGATTATCAAACTGTTCGGCCTTGAGCCAAAATATATTAGTATGCACAATTGTGATCAAATGTCTCTTTCTTGCAATCTTGCAACCGTTTCATCAGAGAATCTAATCGAGAGCATAACTGATTGCCATTCAAGTCAAGTCACGTCGGACATTTTTGGATATAGTAATATACATAATATAGTGGTATACATAAGTGTTGGAGATTCCAAAGTTTTGAAATTCCTTATTCCTTATGGCTTATAATATCCGCTTACTATTTTCGGTGTTTCGACTTATTGCTTTAATGGAAGATTCTACATTTTGAAATAAATTTGCTCTGTTGGAATTACATGTAGCCTCATGTAAATGAATGGCTTTCAAGGGCATTTCTGATTGTAAAATCACTATATCTTCTTGATTCATTTCTCCGCAGATCATATTATTGAGCGCTCTAGCACAAAAATGAATCTTCTCTTTTGCTAGAGCAACATTACCTCATTTAACTAGACTTCCGCTATATGAATCGTTTGCTGGAAACGAAAACAAGTTGAAGCTGCCTTCAAATCCAATTATTGATATCCCTCCGAACGACTCTGAATTTTTCAATATTTTTCTAATCTGAAATCTACTTGAGAAAACATTTTCGCTCCAATTCTTGATATTCCATCATTTATGAGGAATTTCAAGTTAATTAATTTTGTTTGCAGAGACTTTACTCCACCGCCATTACTTAAAGGTCTACTCCTTTTCCGTCGATTGATTTGTTGGATGCGAAAAGTGTTGAATGCGAGGAATGCCTCCTCCAATTCCAAATGTTGCCTGTTCGATCGCTACGCAAAAAGTAAAACTTTTAGTAAATTGGAATTTGTCCAACGCATATACATTAACGTTTTCATTGATGACGATAAATGCACTTATTTTATTATATATTTTCAAGCGTTTCCTCTTCTCGGAAAAGAAGATTCGCATCTAATCAAAAATACCGTATTTTCTTCTATTACGATAAATAGTTTCTGTAGAGTGTAAAGTACTGCACTTTCATTATTACGACTTGTCTAATCATCATACTCACTCCTTCGCGAATGACAGAACATGACAAACTCTCTAAAATGATATCTCCTCCTATGAGTATTTCTTTACATTATATCTCCTATAATTGGCTGCAAAGTCATCGAAGCGCAATTCATTTAAATCTTCAGGTCTATGCACATAGTGATTAGGCAAGGGAGACCTTTCGCATAAACACCCGTCAATTTTAATAGCAACTTTTGAAGTTCTTGCCCTAATCGCAATATAAGCACTCTTTCCTAACATCTACAAGTACTTGCGTAAACATCTGAATGCCTGCTTTCTGCCTTCTGTATACCTAGGCATCAATATGCATTTTTTTGAGCGAAAATTTCAAATCCTATAACATACTTGTACGCGAAATGTTGCAATACCTGGTTGATTGTGTTGATTCCCCTATTAATTTCGTCTCTTGAATTTCGTAAATTTCCCGAAATACTCCAGTTGGAGTTGTGTTTATATAATTGCAGAAGCAACCGGTGAAGTCGGAATCGATTGGAACAAATCGTAATACACTTGTTAACCATCGTTAAGGATATTCAGCTTTATACTTGATGCTATTGGCCCGCATATACTCTATATCATAGTTATTTAGGCGTATCCCCATTATTCATCCATTTGCAAGGATTTAGCAGCGCTATAATTCGAATACGGTCAATACCTATTCAAAGGTCCAATGAACTATATTGCGAATTCTTCAGTTTGATCATTTATACGCTTGCGTATAGCTTGAAAACGGTATTTTTAAAACGCAGGAATCAAAGTTTTATTCAGCACAGTACTGTCCATAGTCTCTCACCTCTTTTTTAAGAATTTGCTTGGTTTTTTTATACCCATTATCGAAACATATCAATTTTGTTAAAACGTTTGCAACACCCAGCGTCAAAGTTCGAAGACCCGATATATTATATATTATATATATATATATATATATATATAATATATATTATATATATATATATGTATATATTCTTGACCAGCATCAAAATTTAAATGGAACTTGACAGATTAGGCCGATGTACAACAGATACATGATATAAATTCCAACTTTTATCCCATTAAAAAAAAAACAAACAACCACGCCCATCAAATTTTATAGAATATGAAAACTTGTGTTATTTTTTTTTATTTTTTTTTTTTTTAGGACAACGGCGATAGGTATAGAAGGAAGATTCACTCATAGCTAAATATAATTTTCTTAGTTGTTGCTTTCTAAAACAGGGATGTTAATATTTACATTGACAACTTTGTCGATTTTCGCAGATTATCAATCTGCTAGCTGGAACTTCCAATGCTTCATGCCAATTTTGAATTCGTTTTTTACATATTTGCGACCAGGAGAATGTTTAACACTGATATTAGCACAAGAATTGTCGAGTTCGTCATCATAAACTCGTAGAGTAAAATAATCATAATATTATTTGGTGTTTGCATGTATTTTGATCATTTTTTCATTTGATAATGGCATTTATTGAGAAACATTGCTATACAATTTTTGAATCAAAATATTTTGCGATCAATCATCCATCATCAACTCTTTCCAATATTTCTGGCAACATGGCGACACAGTGTCGAAAGAACGATATTGATTTGGCAACGATCCATTCACCAACCTATTTTCGCATTTCGTCAACTTTGCTAAGCTGCGTGTGCAAGCCATGCGATGTCTGATGATTACACTGCGTGCGGTCGAGCTGCAATAATATATCCTTGACTACACTTGCAACGTGTGCCGTAGTGTCGTCATGCCAGAGGATGACACATTGCCTCTGTAAACTGCTATTGGTCGCCTTCTTTTGCGACAATACATCGTTCAATTTGTTTAATTGACGCTAGTAGACGTCTGTAGTAACAGTTACATTCCGTTTTAGCAGCTCATAGTACACTATAATGGGCTAAACCCGTCATATGCACAGCAAAATTTTACGCTCATAAATATTCGATGATATCGATGTGGATAGCTCTCTTAGACAAACCCTTGACCTTTTGCGCTTAGGATTCTCGTAATTAATCGTCAGTGCAAATACGTCACAGAAAACTCCTTTTTTTTTGCCTGGCAAGCAATGAAA